ATATATAAACCATATTGATCATGAATTTTAAGAGGTACCACTTGTAGGCTTGATGTACAGATTAAGAATGCAAATCCATATCCATATTCTAATAAATGAATAGTTTTAATCTCCTTTTGTCAAGTGTCACCCTAATACAACTCCTCATTAATATTATGTCATGTGTCATGTAGATATATTAAGCAACTCATTTTAAAATTCAAATTTACATTTTCTAATTATATGTTAAATTTGAAGTTATAATAACTTTAAATTTTTGATATATCTCTTAATTAATAATTTATTTAAAATAACTTATTTAAAATAATTGATTAATAATTATAAATTTTTATTATAGAAGTTTAATTAATTTTATAACCGTGGTTCTCACGAGTTATAAACTAGTTCTTATATAAAAATATCAACAATAATTATGAAACGTAAATCATTTAATGACATGGGTTTATTTCTATTTTAATATCCAAAATTAAATAGGAAACAATCAATCATGGGTTGTTAATTGCTATATGAAATTATGGTTTGGATTTAATTTTTCAAATCTTGATTAGGCGATTGATTCTAATGGTTTCCAATAATAGTCAATGTGAACTAAGGATATTATGGTTCGATATGATTTTTGAAATCCAGAATTTCCTTATGTCGAGTGTTTGAATCCCTTAATTCTCAATTCTTTTCTGTCTCCATACGTTTTTCTATATATAATCGGTTCATCGCCTCGTCCACCAACTCAAATCAAAATCAAGTTATCCTTGATGTTTATTGTTTTCTTTTACATTTGCGTTTTGTATATTCATCGTCATTTACAAGAGCATTAAGATTATTTTTGGTTTTTTTTTGTTTCACACTATTGTATCAGAGCATACGCAATACAGAGACTGCAAAAATCATGTGAGAACGAGCTTATACGGCAAATCGGTATTTTGAATGCTATTGGGTTGATTTTTTTAACATGTTTTTAGATTTTTCAGGACTTTTAAGGTTAGTTCATTACAATATGTGGTTTTTTATAACATTCATGTTGTCTGGTGTACTTTGCAGCATTTCTAAGTCAAAAATCATTTGTCCATTTGATGAACTTTCACTTATTGATATGTGTTTTCTTGGAACGATAGCAATGGTGATACATTCTTAAAGTTTGTATTCAATTTTCTGATTTTGCAGAGCAATCTACTATTCTAGAGCCAATGTAATGCTAACAATCCAAGAAGCAGTCGAAGCTGGATTACACCAACCTATAATTAAGCAATTCAAGTTTTCGAGACTTAGACATCTTTCCTAAAAACCTATGTGCAATTCACACCTAGGGTGTTATTTTCCCTAAATATATTCATTTACCTACGCATATGAGTATGAAGAAGGCTTGATCAAGTTTTCCTTAAACTATGTTGAGTTTTTTTTTTAAATAATAAAGAAACAAGAGGCCAAATATAGAGCCAAATTCGTTGGCCTCAGTTACATATTTGTACTTTCTTTGAAATTTCTTAGCCTTTCCCTTTATATATGACATAATTTTGTTAAGAAACACATATAATGGATTTCGTGTTTTGACGTCTCAACAATATTATTATTAATAAAAAAAATGGGAATATGATGTTTTCCATTGAGGGATTTTATTAAAGTTTTTACTTAGTTATGATGCCAAAAACATTGATGGTCTATATAATAATTATACTTTCAAGGATGTGATGACTCATTATATAATTAGTTTAGTTCAAAGAAAACATTGTTGCTAAGAACCTTGGTTAAATGTTTTTTTTTTTAACTGGTGTGTGACATCCCCATTTTCACGGCCAGAAAAGACCGATTTTGTTTATGTTTTATAAAAATCAGAGTACCTCTTTTAATAAAAATGTTGCGGAATTTGTTCCCAGAAAAAAACATGATAAATACGTTATCAAAGCATTTCCGAAGAAATGTGTTTTTATTCATTTTCAAAACCTTGGGATGTCATCGTCAATACAGAAACATAAACATAAACAAAACTTACATTCATTTACACTAGTGATCTACATCTCTTTTAAATCTCTAAGTGTAACGTAGCTTCGTATCGACACCTGTGATACAAATAAGCTTGAGTGGGTCAGGTCGGGAAACCTGGTGAGTACATAGGGTTTTCAACCCACAATAATATAATTATTATGTTTAAACAACAAACAATCAACCCAATTACCCATCCCCATTATCTTCCTCACTCTTAAGGGTCTACCCTAAGAGTCATCTATCCTGCATTCGTTCATTCCGAAGTCCCTTGCTTCCAGGGTTTATAAGACAGCACTAAGTCCATAGCTGCCAATGCTCATTTGTAAAGCACTAAATCCATAGCTGCTAAAGTTCATTCATCGGGTACTAAATTCATAGCTACCAGTGTTTATATAATAGGTACTAAGTCCATAGCTACCAACGTTTATCTGTCAGGTACTAAGTCCATAGCTACTAACGTTTATCCATCAGGTACTAAGTCCATAGCTACCAACGTTTATTCAATAGACACTAAGTCCATAGCTGCCGATGTTCACTCATATCATGTTTTATCTCTCATCCTTCATCTACCCATGTTATACCCAACATATTTGTAGATATAGAATACGTATACAGTTTAAATCATTTAAAACATGTATAAAATCGTTCATCCAACATAGATAGCAACTATACAGGTTATATGCACACATAGCACGTAATTTATATAAAATACTTTATATCTATGTGTAAGATGAAAATAACTATGCACTCACTTGTTAAAGTGATGATTCCAAACTCGGGCAGCGCTTCACTTTAACGATTCTATTTTCCTTCGACGAAACCTAGCATTATTATCGCTAAATTTTAGTCTAATATTTACCGTGACTAATTATTAGTCTTAGCATTATTATTATTATATAAGCGTTTAAACAATATTTTCCAACCATTATGTACAGACATGGGCCAGACATAAAACACCGGAGGGCAGGACCATTTTGGCATATAGCACTTCTGGAATCCAACAACCCCATGCGGCCCTTTAAACCAGATTCCCCGTACTGCGAGTAGTTAAAAAGATATTGTAACGAAACTTATATAACCTATAATAATAGCTCAAATAATTATTATAAGGTCCTAATAACGTTACTATATTTAAATAAAAGCTATATTAAAAATTAGGTAGGCGTATCTTACCTACGAGGGAGTTTGGCTAGAAGCCGGGCTCTGCAGGGGCAGGACTTCCGAGCCGAAAGCTCTTCTTCTCGGAGCCGTCGAGCGCTCAGGGGCTTTCTTCTAGCGCTAGGGGAGTTTTTTTTGGGAGGTTTAGAGAGAGTGTAGAGAGAAGAAACAATGAGAAAGGTGTGAAGAAAATGAGGGTGAAAGGGGTTGTATTTATAGGGTGAAATATGGCTGAAATTGGTGCCACATGTCACCATCTAGTGGCAAGCCTTGGGGAGAAAGCAATTGCCAAGATTGTGCCACATCACCCATTTTCGCACAGCACACTTCCGACTTCTAAAATCCGTAACTTTCGCATACGAGCTCCGTTTTTGACGTTCTTTATATCCACGCGTAGGTAAATATAAGATATACAACTTTCCTTTTGACTCTATCGGCTAATTATCGACCGATCTTAAATTTAACAGTAGAAGGTGACTACACTGTTAAATGTCCGCGTAAAATTCATAACTTCTACACACGGACTCCGTTTCCGTCTGTCTTTTTGTCGTTGAGTTCCTATTAATAAGATATTCAATTCTCATTTAGGTCGCGTTGGCAAAAAACCGGGTGATCTAGAATTCGAGTTTCGGGTCGTGCACTGCTAGACCAAATCTTAGAAAAATCATAACTTCCTCATACGAAGTCAGATTTGGGCGTTCTTTTTATGCACGCTCTCGGTTTAACGTATAATACAACTTTTGTTTAGATCACTAAGGCCAAAAAGTCCTCTATCGTAAATTCACTATTTACGTCTCCCGGTGCCGTGCCGATTTTGCCGTAAAACTTTGACGGACCATAACTTCTTCGTTATAACTCAGATTTCGGCGTTCTTTATATGTACGGAACCCTTGTAACATATACCACCACTTGGTTAAGATTAATCCTTATAAATAATATTTCATCAATAACTCATTTTTGATGCTCATTGTCTCTAAATTGACTAGCCCGAATGTGCAGGTGTTACATGGTGTGTCGTTTGTTTGTAGATCACTATTTATCAAAAGTTTTTTTTATACCTAGAGTGTTGTTGATTGGCAAGATAAAATTTAGTTTATTTTATTAAAATCTCAGTAAACATTTGAAGCTAATTATACTTTATTATAAGTAGTTCAATCTACCAATTACAGATATGAAACTAAAATTATAGGTTTTTATTGTAAAGTTAAAGAACTCGTGGAAATTATACAATATAATTGAAGATTTTATTTCTTGTAAAATAAGATATTTTTTGCATTTTTATTAATTACCGTAAATAACTAAATATCATCTCAATCATGTGCAAAAGATAATAATAAATAATTGAGCTAATTTGCAAATTAGGGAGGTCGGCCTATGTGTTAGTATTGTCATAAAAAAGATAATCGTTTTAACAATTACGACCATGATTATTTGTTACATGGGGGTTTATGGAATGCCATATGCTTAATATTAACTAGAAAGGTTACCCCGCTACGCGGGGGCCAGAAGCTTTCAATGTTGTTTCCGAATTGATAAATATGACAGACATAGAAAGTGCAAGGATGAAAAGTCCGGACTTTGCACCGGACAAAAAATGTAAAAGTTTTGACTGTAAGGACCAAAAGTGTGAAAATGGCTAAAGAATTAAAGGGGTAGAAATTAGCAATTTTTTAGAAAAGGGATCAAAGTTGTCAAACCGTTAAAGTTTTGTGGCCAAACTTTAAATATTAAAAGGTTCCAAAAAAGTGTAAAAATATTGATTGCAATGACCAAAAATGTCAAAATTGGTAAAGAATAATGAGCAAAGTTGTCAAAAAACATCCAAATTTAGTATTCCTAACTTCCAACAATAATACATTGACCAATTCTGTGAAAAAAATGGGAAGTTGAATGGAACACAAACAAAAGGACATGAATAAATTAATTAAAGAAGTACAGTGACCGGATATGTAAATCAAGGGGCCAAAGCTGGACAAAGTATGTCAACTTTACTATTCCTTTCTATCACAACTTTAATATATATATAATAATTTAGATTTTTCAAACGGCATTGGGTTTGCTAACTTTTTGCTAAGATTACTTATTAAAAAAAGGTATTATTTGGGATACTTCTATTTTTCTAAAAACTTTATTAATAATTTAATTATTCAATTATTTGGTATTTCACTATTAATAAAAAGATTTGATATACACCATAAACTTTAAACCTTAGTACGATTTGTCTTGAATTTAGGTAAGCATGAAAAAATTATAGCTTATGATCTTGCTCAAGTAAACCGATATTACACTGGTTCGAATTACGACAACTCCGACTTCGTCATATTTTCTGAAAACTTATTGCAACTATAAAGTTAAAATTTGGAAGGTAAAAACAAGTTAATTATGTGAAATATAAAATATTTTCGAAAGAAATGTGATACCTAAATCTATAAAAACAAGTTAACTTCGTTTTGCAAGACGAAACAATGACCATGATTCGTCCTATTTTGTTTATATTTTACAGTAATGAATTACCTAGATAATAACATACTAAAATAATGTATGTTAATTTTTTAAACCAAAACAAGGTATTTTTGTATTTAACTAAACGAAACACAACATACTTTTAAACGAAAACAATAACATACTTTTAATTTTAACTTGAATGGAACTAATTGCCGACATAAATTATTTGTTGCCGCCGCTTTGCGCGGGCACACGACTCGTGTATATATATATA